ATTATCAGTAATGCAAACCAGCAACTTTGAGTAACCAGAATGCTAGCCAATCTATATATTGAGATCCTTCCTGCCAGGTGACTAACAGATCCATACACAATCAAAAATTCTTTCCCATATTTAAGCTGAAAGAATCTAAGTGTGAAATAAATTCGTTTCTTAAATTCAAGTGACTATAGAGAAGAGATTGAAGGAAACATTTTGAACTTATTTCAATGGCCTTTTCCAAGATACCATGAGTAATATCTTTCTGAAAATTATCTGTGTCATGGTTTGGCAAAGTATCTTCCTCAACAAAAAATTATCAGTGTAATGCTACCATAAGGTATATACTTTCATAAATAATGACTTGACAGTAATCAATTACTCTTTCCACTTACATAGATGTCAAACTGAGAGTATTTGTCACCTTCAGCTTAAATTTTATAAGCTATGATCCTATGTTCACCTTCACTTGCTGAGACAGAGCACTCAAACCAAAATAAAAAACTTTAAGGTTGCCAGAGGCATCCAACAATAGGTTTTCGGGCTACACGGCAAACAGATAATGAACAATGAGCTGCCTATGAAAGTAAAAATATAAGACTATATGTTACTATAAAACAATGTTAATTACCTTTAGATCTTTGTGATAGACTCCCCTGCTATGACAATAATCAACGGCATTAATAAGGTTCTGATCAACCACAATCTAAAAAACAACTTATTACAAATGTACAGTTGTAAATGTAGAAAAATGAAGAAGCATTGAGAGATGACCACTTCAAAAAACACTAAAATAGTTTAAAATAATAAAAATCATCAAAATACCTAGAAAATTACTACATCAAAACAACCGAAGAAACAATTGTCAACAAGCTACAGTCTTTGAAGAATGAATTACTTATCTCACCTTGAAAAATATGACAAACAAAGTCTCTGGTATTTTCTTCGCTGATGCTTCAGAGGCATTAATAAAAAGTGATGCTATGTGGCTTGCTACAATTTCAGTTGTAGAAGATTGATAAACAACAGTCAACAGGAAGGAGAAAGAAAAAAGGATGCTGTAAATGGCACTATTGGAACCCATTTCTTCCTACATGCATCCAAAGCTTTTGCAGCCTATTTAACAACTGTTAAATACACTAATTCAGCTATCTGATTATATATACAGAGAAGAAAAAGGTTAATCAGTTAACAGAATGCATGGGTTAGTGGTAGAAGAGCTATATTTACATGCAAGAGCAAATGAATGATGAACATATAAGCTCTCCATGCCTTGCATTCAGTTTCTCCTCCATTTCTCCCAGGATGGAGGCATTTCTTCTTGCCTCCATCTCCTTGGATGGAGGCAAGAAGAAATGCCTCCATCCAAGCTTGGAAGGAGGCTTGGATGGAGGCATTTCTTTATGTCTCCTTGGATGGAGGCTTGGATGGAGGCATTTCTTTATGTCTCCTTGGATGGAGGCATTTCTTTATGTCTCCATTGGATGGAGGCATTTCTTCGTGCCTCCATCCAACGATGGAGGCATGGAGAAATTCCTCCATCCAAGGAGCTTGGATGGATGAAGACATGCTAAATGGTCATCTGCAGCAACTGTCAAAAAAGAAGTAAGTACTTACTCATAACATGAATCTCTTCAAAATTCCCAATTCCAACTCTAGAAGCACCTTATTCATATTACAAAATTATAATTAAAATTCACATGTAAACATTTCAAAATTTTACCTAAGATGAAATATGAAAAACTTAGCTTGTAAAATGTAAAAAACAAGAATTCAGAATTTATCAATTTAAATAATTATTATTTTATAATGCAGTACATTTAAATTACCTAAATATCAATTAATATACTATTTCACAACAGTTTGACGATTTTCATATTTCTTCTTTCCGTCTTTCACAGTTTTTGTTTTTAAAAAGTTCATAAAACTTTCTATTTCATGATGTCTACTCTTTGCACAAATGACTCATTTTAAAACCAAAGATTTTTTACCTTAGGATCAGCACAAGCACAGAAAACTCTGGGAATTGAACTGCAGATCATCAAATCCTTGTCCGAACGGTCTTTATCTACAGTCTCAAATGTATATTCCTTCCCAATAGCATTTTTTGTTCCCGGTCTATCCAAATTGACCTCAAAAATTCCTGCAAGTGTAAGTCTCTTTCAGGTTTGAGATAATCAAAGCATGGCATATTTCTTGGCTAGTAAAAATGTATTTTTCTTTTATCCAGTTAATATGTTAACTGAAAAAAATACATGATGCACTATTAGCAAAAGACACAAGTAACATGCATGGACTTGTCTATGGAAGATAATAGCAGCATTATGGAGATGTTAAATTATAAAATCAGCAAAATTCAGTAGGTTCAAAGCAAGGACAAGGATGGTCTCAAACATAATCGCCTATGAGATGTATTGTTTCTGGAACACTTTTGCATGGGTTAGTGGTAGAAGAGCTATATTTACATGCAAGAGCAAATGAACGATGAACATATAAGCTCTCCAAGCCTTGCATTCAATTTCTCCTCCATTTCTCCCAGGATGGAGGCATTTCTTCTTGCCTCCATCCTTGGATGGAGGAATTTCTCCATGTCTCTATCCTTGGATGGAGGCATGAAGAAATGCCTCCATCCAAGCCTCATCCAAGCTTGGATGGAGGTATTTCAGCTAAATCACCAAACTAAGTATTTATGGTTTATTTTTGAGGTGGCTTTAAAATTCAGAATCAGAATGTCTTGTGGGTGTAGGAATTGGAAGTGGATATGGAGAAAATCAAAACTACTAGCAAAGAGATTCACAAAACTACTTGCAGAGAGCCAAACTACCGCTAAAGGTTGAAGAAAAACAAAGGGAACTGCTTTGAAATCATAAATCAGAGACAAAGTAGAAATACGTATACAACAGGTAGGAATTTTTTAAATACATCTCACTTACATCTTACCTTGTCAAACTTGCCTGTGCTACTCTAAACCTCGCAAACCTCTTGCGCTCTCGTCATAGTATTTGCCCATTTCAATTAGTAAATTATAAATACACAACAACATAAACAAAAACTAAAAGAAAGTGTGGACTGAGGAGAAATAATTAAAAGTATCATAAATATCAGCATAAAAAATAAAAGGGAAGAATCCAAGCCGAAAAGGCACACTCAATGAAACTGCAAAAAGAAAAATAAAAGAAACAGGGGAAGCAAATATATCTATACCCAGGAAAAAAAAATCCCTACATCAATAGATTTTGTAAAGGGATAGAAAAAAATAACACCTACCTGGAATAAAATGAGTGCCCAAAATTAGTTGGCAAAATAGGATTGAAGTAAATTGGTCCTTCGGTTTAATAGATATATGGTATTTTATTTCTTAAGAGTTGAGGTAACAATTTCAATATGTTGCAGAGGATCGCAAATCGCCATGAAGGAGCTCCAAAAATCACCGTGGAGAAGGTGATAAAATTTTGGACTATAGAATCAAGGAATGAAATTGATGACTCTTATCAAAGCATAAATGAATAGTACTTCGTGTCTCCACTCTCCGTCTCGCAAGGATATATGCAATTTAAGGCATAAAGAACGTACCTTTCAAGCGTCGGCGGTGGATGCGGTGGCGGAGTACGAGCTGAAGGATGGACTCAACGAGAAGAAGTGAATCTTTTGGACCATCAAGAGGAAGAAGAAAATGAGGGTGCAGAGGGTTGGAAGAAAGATCCCGAGGTGGAGGGTTTTTTGCCTACAATGAGAGCAATTAGGGCAATTTATCCTAGGACAAACGACGCCGTATTGGTTGACGACGACGTGGCATGAACAGTAAAAACTGGCTCTTTTATATGTAGTAGGACATATCCTACTTGGTCTAATAATTTACATTTTTATATCTTAGTATTGTCTTTTATGTTTTTTATACATTTTTTTTCTTTCGTCTTCGCTTCTCTTGTTGGTAAACTACATTTTGACACTTGTAGCAAATTATAAATTGGAATAACGAATTGCAAACAAAATAGGCTGAAAAGCATTTCAAAGTAGTAAAGTAAGCAGAAAGTAAATAAAACACAAGTATGTAGACAAAAAAGTTATAATCATTGAATAAATAATTAAAATGGTAGGCCAAAGCCATTTACATGGAAAATGCGAAAAGAAAAACCTATCAGCTAAATAGGTGGGGGATGGGGAGCTACAAAGGGAACTATAGCATTGTGAGCCACGGCTTCAAAAGTTTATTCAGCAACATCGTCCTCAATCTTAATCATGTGGCTATCCTTTGTCAGAGTTTGAGGGTTTTATTCTCCCTCTTCCAGAAATTCTGACCTCAACTCAAAGGTATTGATGGCTTGAAGGTTAACTTCAATCCATTCCACAATCTCGGTGTAAGATGTACCTTCGTCGTCGGTACTTTGCGAAGCTTTGGTACGCTTCCGTTAGGTAGAAGTTAGCAATGTAGTGCTTTACAGCATCATCACCATTAGATTAAGCTTCCTTCCTAGCTGTCTCATCCTCTATCAAGCTAGAAACTTTATCGTTCAGCTCCACCACCTGCTGTTTCAAAGCAGCATTCTCTTCATTTGCCTTCTCCAAGGCTTCAGCAGACAATTTCTGGTGGGCGTTAGAAGTCTCCACTCGCTAGTCATAGAAGTGGACTTCCTTCTTCAGATTTTCAATCTCCGCCAATCTCGGAGCGAGCTTCATGGACTTCTCAACCAGCCGCTTCCTTATTGCCTCAGCCTTAGCCTTCCTGGCTGCAACATCGGCTTGAGAGGCTTTATTTTTAAACTCTCTATTTTTATTTTGAAGGTTTTTAAAAAGGGTTTCAGCCTCTATGGCCACTCCAAAGGCCCTCCCCGCCTGGCTAACCATGGTGGCAAAGAGGTTCATCATGTCACTTGTCTGCATAAAGCTCTGCTACCTATTCGTCTAAAACTTATGAAATGTAGATGTGACAGTTTGAACCTCTGGAGGAAGCATGGTCAAAACCTTTTGAGTCATTTCATCGCTTTTTTAGGAGATTGCAACTTTATGGCTGGCCAAGTCACAATTCGTCGACTTGCTCGAAGTTTGGCCCTCTTCAACGACTGCTGCCATAAAGGTTCTACAACAGTTGGCCATTTTTTGCCCCCTTTCACCGCAGCTATTGAAGCTGCCATTAGTTTTTCCCCAGCGAGGACCTCGGAGCAAGGGGGTAGGATGGCCATTGACCTATCTTTTCCAGTAGTGGAGAAACGATGTTTCTTTCTGAGGACCTCCTCAACTATGTTTTTGCCCTTCTCCTTTATGGGAGGTCACCACATCAAACCATGCTAAGCCGGCAAGGCTATCTAATATGTCAACACAAAATCACAACAATTAAAGCACAATCACCCCCAAACTTAAATCACACATTGTCTTCAATGTGTACAGTACAATATAAAAGAGAATATGAGATAACGAAACTTCTCTTGTTGTATATTTGGTGAAGAGGTAACAATGCTCTACTTTGACTTGTGATGCTTTTAATAAACTTGGGCAAGTGACCTTCCTGTATACAATTTACCCCCAAACTTATGA